GCCATTGCTATTAGGTTGGCGGACATCGCTAGTAGGTTGGAGGCCATTGCTATTTGGTTGGAGGCCATCGCTAGTAGGTTGGAGGCTTTTCTATTAGTTGGAGGCCATTGCTATTAGGTTGGAGGCCTAGCTATTAGGTTGGTCGGAAGAACTCTTGTGAAGTTAAAGGAAACAGTTAGAACTGCAAAAAGACATTTGCACAATAGTTTTAGAGGCTTTTACAAAAAACATCAACATGTTCTCGTCGCTTGAGGTCGAGTCATCAAGAAGGAGCAGAGGCATGCAGGTCTCAAGGAGTGAGCGAGGAGAGTGAGAGAAAGAAGAGAGAGAGAGAGAGAGAGCGAGAGAGAGAGAGAGAGAGAGGGAGAGGGAGAGAGGAGGGGCTAAAAACGAAGAAGCGCAGAAAGACAACAGAGGCTAAACAAAGGGTCTAAATTCCCATTCGGTTTTGTTGGGCTTTGGACGAATTTGAGGATCTCTTGAACCTCTTTCTGCATTGCGGGATTTTAAGGGAAGGTCCTTTTCACGGATCTTCAAACCGCTCCACAGAGGTACCTGGCACAACGGGAGCGTGCCGGTTTGATCTCTCGTCAGGAGGCTCTGGATCCGGTAATTTGATGGAAACTTGCTACTAGTAAGAAGTGCATCGCTACTAGTAACAAGGGCATTACTACTAGTAGCAAATAGCTACTAGTAATTCACTTGCTACTAGTAGCGATGCCCTTACAAACCGCCCTTACAACCTGATTTTCAAACTTAGAATTGGGGGCGACATCAGCGGCCTGCATGTGAATAGCAAGCGATCATTCAGCATGTGACCCATTGTTGGTCTAAATTAGATACCTGAAAATCATTCACGTACAGTGCCTTCGGCATTAAAGCCTTTCATTTGATCCTTCCTTGCTGTACTTCCTGATGCACTTGAAACTGTCATGTTGAACGTGCTCGTGCCATTCTTCAGCTCACTTTCTTTCCGTAGCGACACTGCAACGACTTCACCCAACGACTTCACCGCCGTTTTGCTCACAGCAACGCGGGTCTTCCGCGTGCGGTGGTCCGGTGGCCGCCTCGAAATGAAGTGGCCCGCCGGGGGCTCCAAGACTCGAGCAAACACTGTTTGCCCGTTCCGGCTGAAGGGTGTGAAGAAGAGAAGAGAAGAGAAGTTGTTGGTGCAGTAAAGGCGACTGTGGTAAAAGTTTGGTCGGCAGCTTCAGGGAGCGCAATTGTTCTATTTTTTGAAGCTTAGCTGACCTCCAAGGGCAAATGCGCCTTGCAAAATGCCATAAGCAGGAATGAATGATAATGTGTGACAAAAAACTGGGCATATCTCTAATGAATGAACTCGAGAACAGGCCAAAAAAAACAATCGGGAAGAATGTTGGCTTCTTTCAGAGCTCCGACTCCTGCAGGGTGGCTTTAGCGGCCGGGAGGCAAGAAGCTTGGGTGGAAAGGAAACGGTGAAGAAACACAACATGCCCTTGTTACTAGTAGCTTCTTGTTCCGTAGCGATGGCCTCCAACCTAATAGCGATGGCCTGCACCTTGTCCAGCAAAGTATGGAAAGGCCTCATTGGAAGTTGTGAAAGTCAAAAGGAAAGCTTTCTTTGACGAATGTTTCAGGCATGGCAGAGCAGTTTGCCTCTGACCTCTGGCAAGAGGAGCTACCGACAAGTCGGTAGGCAAGACTAGAGACCCTGGCCGTTGCAGGTGTTGGACTCGCCACAAAACAAGAAGCCTGGCTCTTGCCACAACATGCTCCGACTATGCAGTCCGTCTCACACATTCAAGTCTTGACGATGTCTTCTCAAAAGCGAATCAACAACTTCCAAAGATGAAAGGGGTTGCCATTGCTCAAAGCTTTCAGCATAACATGACTAGTTGACAGGATTAAGATCTCAATTTCAAAGATACAAGTTGACATGCCTCAGCCTGAAGCACACAGAAACACAACTTGTCTCTTTACATTTTTCACATCGAAAGACTTCAACAATATGACTGCACGGGTCAACGCTCAAACAGAGCAAATTCAAGTTTTCAATTTGAGCCCTCAAAATGCATGCTTAGTCTCAACCCATACAGGCAAATACAGGCAGGACGCGATCTCAGCCATGTCGCGCTTTGGCTTCGACAGTCTGGAGCGCTTGGACCCCCGCGAGATGATGCGGGACCTGTCGCGGCAGTCGTCCCGGCCGACGGGGGAGTCAGATTCGGACGATGACTCCTATGCCGCTCAGAGCAGACGGACGGAGCACACGGATTTCGGACGTGACTGACGTCAGGGCCACAGTGTGTGTTTTAGTGCTTTAATTGCGGAGCAATGCCCAGAGCTTAGGTTGGAGGCCATCGCTAGACTTTCAGCTCTGCAGCCACTTCCCCTCGTGAGCTTGATGAGTTCATGGAGAACATGGATTGGATCAATGGGGGTAGACAGGGCACATACCAAGATTCACCATAGTTCTCAAATGGGATCCCCTCCGTACCAGGTCGTTGTTCCACAGAGCAGTAAAAACGAGGACCTAGGAAGCACGTTTATAAATGCAAAAAAAGTGTTTGCGTGTGTTCCTGGTTTGGTTGTTCGAAGCGTTTCAACCGACTTCGGCCCACGTTCTGCGTTCGTTTCAACCGTTTTAACCGACTGAGATGGTTCTAAGGAAGATGATCTTGCCAACTTCGGCGAAGGCTCTTGCAGACTTGACTTTTCATCACACACGTCACTGCGCGCGTGACGTTGTTTCTGTAGTCTACAATTTGCAACACAGTTGTGCCATAGACAGACACTAGCAGAGGGTGGAAGTGAAGCTTGAGCTAGCCGCATACATGAGGTTCCTGTTCTAGCATGTTAAGTTTTCCTAAAAAAAGCGTGAGATATCCTGCGTCCATTTACTAGAAGCTAACTAGTCGCCCTGAGGGAACTTCTCCCTTACTAAGTAGGCGGTAGAAGGCGCCTACTGAATTCAGTAGGGAGGCGGGGCCTCGGGCCTCGGGCTAAAATAAGACTCAGCTACTAATAGCGTCCTTGCTCCTAGTGGCGATGCCCTTTGCTCCTAGTAGCGTTCTTGCTCCTAGTAGTAAGGCCAGGAGGCCCCTCGTAGCGCACCAGTTCCTGTAAGTTGGAATTGCTTTTTGTCAATTTCCACGCCGAACTCGGCTGCCACTGAACGCTCCTCTGACTTGCGACAGACATCTCGGTGCCTGATGAGCACGTGCAATCCGCTGAGAGCTCCTCCGACACCAGTGACTCCACGGAGGTGGGAAGTCGCATCAAGTAACGACTCAAGTTTGTAACAAGAATGCTCCTAGTAGCGATGCCAAGAGCCCCTAGTGGCTTCTTCTCCTAGTAGCGATGCCCTTTGTTACTAGTAGAAAGAATGGACAACCCACACTGTTCAGTTTTGGTGGAAAGTGATAAGCCACACTCGCACACCGATCTTTCTTTGAAGACACTCCTTACTGTGCAAGAAACCCTTTAATCGCGTAACACAGCTTCGTTCTGAGTTTTCCTCGTGTCCTACCTCAGGCAATTGCCAGCAGCCGTGACACCCAGCGACGGCGATCGTCCATTCGGACAATGATGGGAGAGGCCGGGCGTTGGCTTTGACGTGTTTGGTCCAAGACCTTCAGGATCTTTTTCTTTTTACAGGCAAACACATGCAAGTCCCATGAAGCGTCCCAAAAATCTCGGAGCCAAATCATCAGTGCCTGAGGTAGCCTGCATCCCTATGTAGTAGCTTAAGTAGCCAGGAGCGTGTTTCGTCTCGTACTTAATTAAGGAGACGCCTACTCAATTAAGTATTAGGAGATATTAGGAGGGCAGAGGGCCAAGCGGGCTAAAAAAAGAGAGACCTTTGGTTTTACAATGTTTTACACTCTGCAAGAAGTTTTGCATCCTTTTGCATCCCTCAGAGCGGAGGCTTAAACCACAGTTTTTCCACAAGTGTTTTCAGAGCCAATCCGCAAAACCAGCAGGAGTGTATTCTTGTCCGTACTTGTTTGAAGAATCGCTTGCAATTTTCCCGAGATTTCTACTGGTCGGACAACTTCCGAAACACAAGTGGACTGACTTTCTTTGGAGCAAACAGTCTCGCTACTATGCTCGCCGTACTTGGACTTGGATGTCAGAACATGCAAGGCCCAACGGTCCAACCTA